GGTTTAGCGCCGCCTACAGTCCGGGGCCTGATCCTGCAGACCCGGGATCGAGTCCCACATCAGGCTTCTTGCATGGAGCCTGCTTCTCCCTCTGCCCGTGTCTCTGCCTCTCTCTCTCTCTCTTTCTCTCTCATGAATAAACAAATAAAATCTTTAAAATAAAAAAAAAAAGAAACCTCATGATTATTTCTGCCCAGGCAAGGTGGCAGAGGGTCTACTGATGTGGGGAGGCCCCCTTTCTTCATCCCCTCAGTCCCTATCAGCCTGTGGCCTCCCTAGCCTTCCAGTGTCCCATAGCTGCTCACCTGACTTAGGAATCTATTTCATCTTCTCTTATCTCTCTAATACCAATTCCTTTTTACCTTGTGCCACAGTTACCTAGTTCTCAAGGACAGTGTCTGGATGTTTCCTTTTTGTGACTTCTGTATAAACAAGACTTACTGCCTTAGTAAAATCCTTTGCTTAGTATACATACTAAATATTCAATGGCTTGGATGTTAATAACTGTATTAGGAAAGCCTGTATTTCTCTTGTATCTTTCTCCTTTCACACAGAACATTTTACTTCTGACACTTCTGGTCACCAAGTGGGTGTGTGGGGGGGCGGGGGGGGAGTTGAACACCAAGCAGTTTTGTGACACCAGCTACGTATCCTACGGTTTCTCAGTTCTGACTCTATCCACCTGGAGATAGTGTCACCCAAAGTTAAAGCCTCAGCCCCATAAAAGTGCCTCTCCTCCAAATACTAATTACAAGTAGTAGATCCCCAGGTTACCCACAATTTTTATCCAACTTGGCTACAAATCAGAGGTTCCCATGAGCTCTTTCCCCTTAGATTCAGTTATTTGCTAGAATAATTTACAGAACTTAAGGAAAAATGTAAGTTTGCCAGTTTATTAAAGGAATAACCCAGATGAAGAGATACATAGGATGAGGTCTGGGAGGGTTCCAAATGCAGGAGCTTCTTCCTGGTAGATTTGGGGTATGTCATCCTCCTGGTAGGTAGATGTGTTCATCAGCTGGAAAGCTTTACACTCCATACTATTGGAATTTTATGAGGCTTCCTCACATAAGCATGATCAACAAACTCCATTTCTAGCCCTTCTCCCGTCTCTAAAGAAGTGGGAAGTGGGGCTGAAAATTCCAAGCTTATAATCATGGCTTGATCTTTCTGGGGACCAGCCCCCATCCAGGAGCCCACCAAGAGTCACCTCATTAGAACAGGAAATGCCCCTAGTGCTCTTATCACTTAGGAATTTACAAGGGTTCTAGGAGCCCTGTGCCAGGCACTTGGGAGGAAGACCAAATATTTATTATAAAGCACAGGATCACAGTCACTTAATGTTACTTTTTTCAGGATCATTTGTGTTTCTTTCCTGATATTTTTGTTATTATTGTGGGGAAAAGAGATCTTGACCTCAATTACTGGTTTATTAGAACAGAACCTCTTAGCGTTTTTTTTAAAATCAGTTTGATAATTCCTTCACTAATTTTTGTATTACTAAGCAAATGTATTATTAGTTATTTTAACAACACCTTGGCTGTTAAACTTATCATTTGGTCTGCTTATGTTGACTTGTTTTCTCCCCCATGTTTATTATTTAGTTTAGTTGGGGTTTATTTTGTTTTTTACATTACAGTCTATTTTCTTTTTTAATTATGGCAGATATACTTAGAAGAATACAGCTTGTAACCAAATGAAAATATAGGGCACGTGTTGGTTTCTTGTAAAGGTAAAGTTGACATTGAATACCTGAGGTGTGCTAAGTGCTTTAAATTAATTAGCTTTTATTTTCACAGCAGTCCTTTAAAGGGCTATTTATGATCAGTAGTTGGGGTTTCGGAAGGCTTTTCCCCAAGTAACTGTAATACACTTTTTAAATCAGAGCCACCTAGCTTCAAGGAGACAGTGTAACTTGGTTACATTTATCTCTAAACTTGACTCTAACTTGGTTGTCTATAGTAAGGACACTCCCAGAAAAAAAAGAATCTATCAAGAAGAGAGATCTCACAGCCTGGATACATAAACAATGGAGAGGCACTTTGAGTTCATTCAGGCATTTCTTAATGAGAAGGAGCTTCAGCTAATACCCTCATCCAAAGGAAAAATAGGGTACTACGCTGGGCCCAGGCCCCACCCTAAATCTGTATCAATGTCAAAGCCAAGGCCCCTTCTGTCAGATCACACTGCCATTGCCACTGACCAAATATTTTACAGTACTACCTGGTCTACTGACTTACTCATTCTTAGACCCCAAACAGAATGATAGCCGAGAAGATAGTTCATTGAACCTCCAATAAGCTATGCTTCCTAATTTGGGGACTTTGTACAGTTCCAGCCTTGTCTCTTATCCCTTTACTTAAAAAATGTCTTTGTTCATGTGCATCTCCTGAGGCTGTCAGGTGCAGCATTTCTAACCATTTAGTCCAAGTGTTCAGAGTGGAGTGACGGTCCTAATGTTTCATCACCAGACTCAGGGCACCACACACAATGGCAGGCCGATTTGGCATTTCCAAGCTATGCAACTTCTTACCTTGTCAATCAGTGTTCTGGGTGGGAACTGAGGCTGTCTGTTTAGCTGGAGTAACTTTGGAAGCTCTCTTTATTTTTTAATGTTTGCAGTGCACATTTGACATAGTTCTGATTGGTACAGGTCTGAATTATGCATTATCTGTAGGAAAATTTTAATGCAGGCCTATCTTCTCTATCAGCAAACCTTTAGATCACTGCTCTCTGAAATTTATGAATATGTATTATATGATACAAATTAAAGTTAATATAGATTTTTAGATCGGGCAAAACATACTCAAAAGCAGCAAAATATTACCCCTAGGGACGCCTGGGTGGCTCAGTGGTTGAGCATCTGCCTTTGGGTCGGGGCATGATCCCAGAGTTCTGGGATCGAGTCCCGCATCGGGCTCCCTGCAGGGAGCCTGCTTCTCCCTCTGCCTCTGTCTCTGCCTCTCTGTGTCTCATGAATAAATAAATTAAAAATCTTTAAAAACAAAAACACTATCTTAGTGCTTTATGCATACATATTCACAACTGCAGAATCCAAAAAGCTCTGAAAACCGCATGTATCATAAATTAGCCTAAACGCATTTGCTGCTAAAACATGAATTTATTTGAGGCTATTTATAGTCTTTATCATATTTAATTTGAATATTCATTTATTTCCTGCAGGAATATTAATGTGCTTGATTGTAAAGTACTGCCCTAGGTCCTGTCTGATGTTTTTTTGGCCTCAGTATTTACCATTTTACCTTTATAAAAATTAAAAGAATAATCTGAATTTCAAAATATATTTGGTTAGAAAATAATAATATGAAGGATTTGGGCCTGTGCTTACTCTTTTTTCCTCATAACAGTGCTATAGGATAGGTACTGTTCTTTTCCCTGTTTTGTAGAATGAAAAAACTGAGGAAAAAGATGAAGTAGGGGACAAGGTCACATGGCCATTAGGGGAAGAGCTGGGACATCAGCCCTAGGGATTCGGCTCCTGAGTCTGTTCTCTGAACCCCGTGATGTGTCACAAGTTAGGGATTTAATCCTTGATTTCTGTGTACTACTCCTATGCTTGGTTTTCTAATTATTAATTTCTAGGCTTTTGAATTGGGAGACAATAAAAGTGCCAAAGGTTATCGATACGTTCATTCTTCTTATATTATCTGTCCCCATGTCTGGCCTAACCAACAGTCTATATATAGCTTTCCCAAAAAGTGCTGCTTTAATCACATATCACATTATTAGATCCTCATCTGCTTCCCTGTTTTCTGAATCTAAATTTTATTGTATTTGTATCATTTTTACACATTTTTATAACTATATATTTATTTAACACTAGAATGTACTCTTAAAAAATCACCAAACTACATCAGAACTAAAAATTAACCAATTAAATTACAGTGATAATTTAACATACTAGTGAGAAAGCAGGACAAATGATAAATTCTTTTCCTAGGTGATAATTCCGAGTTACTGCTTCAGACCCTTTGCTGGTGGTCTGTGATAAATTTTTCAAGAAGGAAGGCTTGCTGTGGACAGAGTATTGTTTGCCCATTTTCTCATTTTTGTTATGCTTCTTCCTCTGATAATTTATTTTTATTTGCTGCATGTTACACATAATGAAACTCACATGATTTTGTGAGTTTGCATATGAATCTTGCAGTTGTATACAGTATAATAGCTTCAGAATTCCTGAAGGATGAAGCTAGTGTACTTTTAAAAAAATTTCTGTAGGTTCTCAAAATTTACTTCCAAATAGTCATCTTACAGCTTTAAGACACAGAAATGTCTATTTGTAATCTTCCATGTTCTTTCCTGTCCTTTTTTGCCTCACATGGAATATTCTGTGTACAAGAACATTGAATTTATAGTAAAAGGAGAGAGTACTGTACTTTTAAACTGAATAGACATCTTTATTGAATTATAAGTGACTTATTTTGTCTGTCTTCAAAGCAGCATCTTCTTTATTTTTGGTTTGGGGAAGAACTATGGGAGTGGGAAGGCTTTGGTTGTTTTAAGAAAAGTCACTAGTTTGTATCATGATACTTGCTTTGAATCTTAAAAAGCATTCCACATATTTTTCAGCACTGAAGTGGTCAAAATAAATGTTGAATGAAGTCAATGTTGTATACACTTAAAGATACAAACAGTCTAGTCTTGATTTTCAATGGAAAAAAAATCTTACTTTTTTATGGGATATGTTTGCTTTTTTTTAGAAAAAAATCTTTGTTTCCTTTCATTAGAAACTCTGAAATTGTTTTAGCTTTGGAACAGATTTAATAGTCTTAGTTGATATCTCTGCTTAGTGACATATTATTCTTCCTTGAGTATGTTCCCAGCCCTTTTCACTGTTAATCTCTAGGTTAAGCTGAAAGCATTCTAGGAAATCTCCCTTTCAGTTATCCCTTTTGAAACCTTGTTTTTAATAGCACTTTTCTTTCTTGGCTTGCATGACATTTTATCTTTCTTTTCCTTTCTTTTTGCCGTTTGCAAAGACTCTTGGGAGGATTTGACAGATTTGGTGGAGCAAATGCGCGATGATACAGAAGGTGCGTGCCACACCAACATCTTTCAGCTTTTTTTTCCTATCTTTTTCTTTCTTTCTTTCTTTTTTTTTTTTTTTTTTTTAATTTCTAACCACCTTTTGATCGTTTTCCATAAGCCAGATTGTCAGCTTTGGTTTTATTTCCCATGGCAATAACTGGAGTAATAAAAATATTTGCCAGATTTACCATACAGGTACTTCATTTGTACAGGATTAGGCTTTTCAGAATCTTGCATTTAAAAATCTTTCTCCTGTGGTTCCAAGTAAAGTGTCATAAATATATGTTTATGCTGTTCCTTTAGGATATTTGTTAAACATGTATAAGGGGACTTTATATCAAAATATATCAGTTTTTTTGGCTGTTTTTTCATTTATTTGTTGGGAAGATGTAAATCTTTTTATCATTCGTGAAAATGTATATTCCTGTTAATTCCACAGTAGTCAAAAACAAACAGATCCCAGGAATCTGAAGTATCCAGTCTGGAATGCTGTTCAGATTTGTAGATTTCCATAACATTAAGCACTTGGAGCTTGGTCCTGTCATAGCATTACTTCCTGGTGGAATTACTTTCAAAAGTAGCACATGTGTTCCAAAATAGAAAGTCCCCCTAATAAGAATTGTTTCTTCTGTAAGGGGCACCTAACTTTAGGGAGCCCAAGGTAATTCACACATTTTATAATAAAAATAGAAAAATTGAAGTTAGGCTTCACTGTATCTCCCACTTTGCCTGAGTACTAAAGTGTGTCGTGTTTGTGTGCCTACCCCACCGACACCCCCACCCGGCTTGAGCACATACACATCCCCTGCCCTGCGTGCACACTGACCTTTTCATTGCCTGTGCATAGTGCATCAGCCTCCTCCTGCCTGGTCCCTGCAGCCTTACCCCTGGAAGTGTACTACCCTCCTCTCCCCACCACCAAGTTCCCCCCACCTCAGTCCAGATGGGAGCTCTGCTAAGGAACTGCTCCTTGACAGCCATGGCCCACATTCAGGTCTCCATTCACTCACGTCCTGCGTTGGAGCTTAAGGCTCTTTACTTGTCCTCTACTTCTGGTGTGTTTATCGTCCTACTCAAGTGTAAAATCCTTACAGGTCTTAAACTTCTCAGTATCTGTGTGAGACCTGGGGTGGTACTGTGCTCAGTCTGTTTGGTCATACCAGGCAAGACTACTGATGCCCAGTAGTTTCTGTCGCCACTGATGCCCATTAGTTTCTTCTTCAGCACTTAACTTTGAATGAGTAAATTATTCCGAGTTTCATGTGTTTTCTATAGTCAAGCTGTCCTTATTCCATCTCTGATTCTGCTTGTATTGTAACTAGTTACTTATAATTCAATGAAAAAAAATCAGTATTACATAGGTGATTGACAGTTCATAGAGAAAGAAAAACGAAGAGGAGGGTGTGGATTCATTCAGTGAGTAGCATTTACTATTATGTTAGCTGTTGTTATTTACCTTGTACAACACAAGTGTAAGGTTTTGATTCCTTTAATAGACTAGGTACTAAAGAAAAATGCTGCATAAAAGCCAACAAATCTATGCCTTTCTTGAAACTTCTTCCCTAGGACTCACCCTGGTAAAATTCCATTTCTTTAATACAAAGTACTACTTGAAGAATCAAGCCTTGTGTGATAGTAAGCTGCCTCTTTTCATTTTGTTTTTGTGGGAATTTTTGTGAATGATTATCATAGATGAAATCAGAAAGGGAAATAAGATGAGTTATAACATAATAGCACATTAAAAACCCAGAAGATGTGAACTGTCTCAATATTTTGATGATCTTAGTAGATTAGCAGTCACATGGTGTATGGTAATATTTCAAGAATGTATTTACAGACAAGTCTTTCTGGAATGTAGTTTTTAAAGAAATCAGAATGAGGAAGGGAAATAGCTTTACTCATTAACTTTTTTTGAGTCATTTCATCCCTTTTTTATTATTATTTTCTGTTTCTCTTGCCTTATTTCCGTTACATGAAATGTTAGAGTTTTACTGTACTATTATATAACTTAAGAATTTTTATAAAAATGAGTACTTGTAACAAAAATAAACATGAGTTAAGGAGTGTTGCCCACATATAACACACTTAGCAGCTTAGGGACTGGGGTGAATCTCAGTTTCAGACCCTGAGAAAGCTGACGATGTTTGTAGGCTCAGATCTTTTCAGAAAACTTTCACTGCTGAGCTATTTCAATTCTGTTTCTCGTCTGTTATTATGAATGTGTCATAACAGTTGGTTTTTTAGTAAAGGAAGTGTTAACATTGGTTTCCAGCCTCCTGAAAATTTGCTCTTTAAAATAACAGACCCTAGGAAGTTGCAGATTTGAACTGTTAGCTTTGGGGTTTTGTTTTGTTCTAAATTTTGCAAGATTGAAGTTTTTTCTGGTGATCCGATTTCTTAAAGTGATGGTTGGTTTTACAGTCAATGTGTCTGTAACTCCTGTCTAATAGAATATGAAGTGCCTTCTTTTTTTTTTTTTTTATTTATTTATGATAGTCACACACAGAGAGAGAGAGAGGCAGAGACATAGGCAGAGGGAGAAGCAGGCTCCACGCACCGGGAGCCCGATGTGGGATTCGATCCCAGGTCTCCAGGATCGCGCCCTGGGCCAAAGGCAGGCGCCAAACCGCTGCGCCACCCAGGGATCCCATGAAGTGCCTTCTTAAAGTAGAAAGTATCCTGCTTTCAACACTGATCAATTATCTGGCATCCCATCTCATTGTATACTATTAATTTGTGCCTAAAAGATTGGAAACTCACTAGAAAATTCTGAAGATTAAATGAAGTAATAAAAACACACAGTTTGCTATCTTTAGTTTCTCAATAAATATTAAATTCCTTCTGTACTTATTACTAATTAGCCTCTGAAACAGACTGAAATTGCAATTACCCAGATTAAGCATTTCTAAATACTTAACATGCAGATATTTGTTTAGTCTTCAAAACTCTATTATCATTTCACAGATGAGGGAAGTGAGGCCTGCAGAATTCAGAAAGGTTCTGAGTGGAATACTGCTCAGCAATAAAAAGGAACAAACTATTGATACCCCCAACAACCTGGATGAATCTCTAAGGAACTATTGCTGAGTGGAGGGAAAGAAGCCAATTTAAAAATGTACATACTATGTGATTGCATTTATATAATATTATTGAAGTGACAAAACTATAAAAATGGAAAATAATAGTTGCCAAGGGTTAGGAGAGGGTAACGGCTGGAGGGAAGGCTAGGTTGTCACCCCTGCTTCTGACCAAGCACATAGAAATCAGAGGTTCTTATTTAAGGGAGACAAGGCTAAACATAAAGTTCGGTAGGTTAGGTGTATTAAAATGCATTGGTTAACTTATATTTTCAACTTACAGTGGGTTTATTGGGATGTAACCCCATCATATCTTGAAGATGTGTTATTTTATTTTATTATTTTTTTATTTATTCATGAGAGAGAGAGAGAGAGGCAGAGACACAGGAGGAAGGAGAAGCAGGCTCCATGCCGGGAGCCTGACTCGGGACTCGATCCCGGGACTCCAGGATTGCACCCTGGGCCAAAGGCAGGTGCTAAACTGCTGAGCCACCCAAGGATCCCCGAAGATGTGTTATTTTAAAGGAAACTCCAAACACTATGCCTCTCCATTCCCAGATACTTCAGTATGACACCTAACAAGATTAACAATAATTTCTTAATAGTACCTAATATTTATTCAGCACATTTTCAAAGGCTGCTTGTCTCAAATATGTCTCTTTTCAGTTAGTTTGTTTGAATCAGGATCCACACAAGACTCTAAGTCTCTGGGGTTTCTTTTACTTTTTTAAATTACTTTTTATACTTTTATTGTCCTCATTTTATTTCCAGCTTTTTATTTAAATTCCAGTTGGTTAATATAGAGTGTAATATTAGTTTCAGGTGAAGAATTTAGGGACTCATCACTTAGATCAACATCCAGTGCTCATTACAAGTACCCTCCTTAATACCTATCATTTACTTAACCCATCCCCCTGCCCACCTCCCCTCCTGTAAGTCTCTAATTGTGTTGAAGAACAGCTTTATTGAGAGAGAATTCACATACTGTAAGAGTCACCACTTTAAACTATACAGTTCAGTGGTTGTTAGTATGTTTACAGAGTTGGGCATCCATCACCACTACCCAATCCCGGAATATTTTCAACACTCTATAAGAAACCCTGTACCCATTAACATTGACTTCTGTTCTCTCTTCTCCCCAGATCCTGGCAACTACTAATCTATTTTCTGTTTTTATAGTTTTGCCTGTTCTGGACATTTCATATAAACAAAGTCATTAAATATGAGGCCTTTTGTGCCTGGCTTCCAGCGTAATGTTTTCAAGGTTCAGGCATAATAGGACATTTATCAATAGTTCATCCTTTTTATTTCTTTTTTTTTTAAATTTATTTATTTATGATAGTCACAGAGAGAGAGAGAGAGGCGCAGAGACAGAGGCAGAGGGAGAAGCAGGCTCCATGCACCAGGAGCCCGATGTGGGATTCGATCCCGGATCTCCAGGATCGCGCCCTGGGCCAAAGGCAGGCGCCAAACCGCTGCGCCACCCAGGGATCCCAATCCTTTTTATTTCTGAATAATATCTCATCATACATACTATATTTTATTCATTCATCGATAGATGGACATTTGGGCCACTTCCACATTTAGGTTATTATGAGTACAGTTGTTATGAACATCCACTTAGGAATTTTATATGGACATACGTTTTCACTTCTTTTGGGTATATACCTAAGAGTGGAATTGCTAGGTCATATTGGTGACTACGGTTTAACCTTTTGAAAAATGAACTGCCAGACTGTTTTCCAAAGCTGTTGTACCATTTTAGATTCTTGTCAACAATTGTTATTTTTCTCTTAAAATCTTCAAAAAAATTATATCCATCTTAGTGAACGTGGACTGGTATCTCATTTGCATTTCCCTAATGGCATTTTTTTCATGTACTTATTAGCCATTTGCATATCCTCTCCAAGGAAATGCCTATTCAAATC